ATTTTTTCCTGCTAAATTTTATCTTTTGACAACCTTCACAATTTTATAATAAACATGCCGTACTTCTGTAACAAGAAAAAAACCCACCCCAAATGGTACAAAGATAGGCAGCTGCCAGGTCATAATCCAAAGACAGACGCCGAGGGCCCCTCGGAAGCAGCTGCATGTCTATTTTCTTGGGTCTAAAAGCCCTGCGTCAGGATGAACCCCTCACCCCTCTGGCCTTATCTCACTTCGGACCCTCAGTCCCTGAGTGTTGGGCTGAAACTCAGGCACTTCGGGGCAGAAGGAGCCAGAGCCCAGAGGGCAGGACGCCGCCTTTTGGTCCCAGCTCTGCCACACAGGAAGCCCTTCCTTCTCTCTGGGCCTCAGGCTACTCGTCTATAGAATGGGGCTACTAACCACCTGCCCTGTCCACTTCCGGGGCCTGTTGTGAGACCAGGAACTCTGAAAGCAAAACCATGAACATTAAAGCATCTTGCAAGTCGTGTAGGGACATCTGCCATGCCAGGTACTATGCTAATTACCAGTGGGCGGAGCTCCCCTTCTGATAGCGGGTACCTGGAAGGCACCCACGTCCGGGCAGCCACCACAGGGCACAAGGCCACTTTCCTCACTAGGACCAGGGAAGCCAAGAGCCCCCTTTATTGAGACACAAGACGAGGGTTGAAAAGAGATGATACAGGCCTACCTCGAAAAGACACATTTTCATACTTTGCCCAAATCTCAACGGACATCACATTTCTGCAAAGATCCAGTGCTGTCACGGCACCCACCCCCACCCCCAGGTTAGCGCTTGTTTGTGAAACAGCCCTCAGGCTGCAAACAACCACTGTGCTGAGGTCCAGCCACCCACGTGGGTGCAGGCGGGGAGTCGGGGCACAGAGAGGGATGAAACACCAGTGTGAGCCCCGAGGAGAATGTGGCGGCCTTGGCCTGGTGCCCGCCCGTGGCACCGGCTGGCTGATGGCCTGAAGGTCAGTGCTATCCCGGGAGAGGGGACAGGGGTCTTACCTCTCCCACGGGCCCACGTGTAGACTCGACTGGTCTCCGTGCTTCTGGGCTCTTGCTCAGCCGGTTCCACAGGCAAAGGTCGTAAGTGGGGGTAATCAGCCCGGCCGGGGGTCTTCAGGGGCAGGATGTACTTGGGGAGCCCTTTGTAGAACCAGGCCCCCGACCTCTTCCAGACCTAAGGAGGGAGACACTGCTTAGAGCCCGGATGCAGAGCAGCTCCCTGCTCCAGGCTCTCACGCAGACCCCCCACCCCTCCTGGTGCTAAGTTGGAATGTCTCAGTAGGTGCCCCCGGCTTCCTCCTGCCTGCCCCTTCCCGGGAGGCTCAGGCGGCTGGAGGAAGAGGCGGGCCAGCAGGGACTGGAGCTGTCTGGACAGGGACTCCGGATGAGACAATCCGCAGGGGGCACAGAGAGGGCCCGCATCTCGGGGACAGACACAGAGCAGAATTCAGAGCAGCAACAGAGAGAGGCCCCTGCACCCAACGCCTGCTTCCAACCACAGCCAGTGCTCCCTGATCTCCGTCCTGAGGAAGGAAACACACTGTGGTCTGCAGCAGGAGTGGGAGTGTGAAGGGAGGCGTGACCCTTTCAGGCAAGAGGAGGCCTTGGCGGCTTGAATCCTGGCTCTGTCACCCAGCAGCTGTGAGCTCTGGACACACCCTGACCCTGTTTCATCACCTCATGTCATCACCGGGATGTAGGAACAGTGCCCGTCTCCCAGGGCGGCATGAGGATCAGACGCGCAAATGAACGTAGGCCCAGGGCCCAGTGCCGGGCACAGAGCAGCCACTCAACAGAGGATGCTCACGACTGTCACTGCCCCCCTCCTCTCATCCGACAAACGTGGCCAGCTTTTCGGCCCGTGGACCAAGTCGTCTACCCAAAAGGGAGAATTTAAAATGAGGCCAGAGTCTCCCGACTTCCTCCGCACCTCGTTCCGTGGGCTGTTAACAGGGGCTCCTCACACACAAAACCCAACAGACACAAAGGGTCCTGGCGACGCACACGGGCAAGCACTGGGTTGGACCAAGCGGCGACGGCAGGAATTCTCAGAGCCTCGACTGCGCCAAGCCCACCGGGTTCTCCAACAGGACGAACCACACGCGCTTCCCACTTGAAACCAACCCGGCAAGTTTTCATAGAGAAACTCAACCCTGGCCCAGGGTCTGCATAAACTGAGCCCTTCGCGGTACAGCACCGGCTGTTCACTCAGTGAGTGACGGGCATCGGCTTCTCCCAGCGGCCAGCAGTCACCTCTTTATGGTCCAAAGTGCGGGGCACGGGACCAGAGTCCAAGCCCTGTCCCCGGCACGAGTCACTCACCCTCCCTCCCAGCTACCTTGTGCAGAAGGGCCTGCTTTTGTGGGGCCCTTGAGTAACAGAACCCGTCTGGTGAATGACTGCTTCGCGGGGCTCCCTTCGACCCTCGCTGGCCCTCTCGCAGCCCTCCTACAATACGTAACTATTATTTGAATGGGTAACACACGCACATGATTTAAAATTCACAAAGCACACAATTGAAAAGTCTCCTCCCCCTTCCCAGAGGCACCTGGTGTGTTAACAGTCTTTGAGGAAGTTCTATTATTATTCCCACTTTCCGGATGGAAAAACTGAGGCCCTGACAACTTAAGCAACGTGCCCGAGGCCAACCCATCACTCTATTGGCCTCTCCTCCGCACCGGAGGCCGCAGAGTCTCACCCCGAAAGTTTACAGACGCTCACTAAGCGGTGGCTGAGCGGTGATGAATCTTCAGTGGGTTCTCAGCGTGGACCCTAAGCGTCCTGCAGGATGGACGCCCAGAGGGGAGGGAAGTGCCGTACGGGGAGAGAAAACTCACATGAGCAGCAGCCGCCAAGGCCGCCCTGTCCCTGCAGAGCCGTTGCCTGGCGCCCGCGTGCAGGTGCCCCAGCGGGAGGCAACGGGGAGGGGAGTGACTCACTCCCTCCCTCTGCTAAGCGAAGGCCTGCTCATCCATCAGCCCTGGCTTCGCCCGCCCCCCGCCGAGCACGCCAGCCTCCTGTCCCCCAACGCGGGCTGGGCCTTGGGGGCAGCGGGGGACCAAGCAAGAAGCTCTCGAGAGCCATGTGTGAATGGCGGGGCTGGGTTGGCTTAGGACCCCACACACTGCCTCCCCAACCCTGCCATGGAAACTGCACCCCCCCCCCTTTAGAAGAGAAATGCATACACAGATTACAAAATTAGGACAATAACAGAAAAGTCAAATGAAGCAACTTTAGGTCCCTCGTAACATTGCCACACAGAGGGAGCCCCGTTGAGCTCTGTGCTGTGAATACTCTACACCCTTTTCTGGGCATATGCACTTTTTTTTTTTTTAAAGAACTTCATGTAGTTTGTTTTTGCCTCCACTTAACTTTATATCGTAGCTGCTGTTCCGTGTTAATAGTAATGGTCTTCACCATCAGGTTTTCATGGCTCCACAGTTCGGATTTGTGAAATTTACACTAGCCCCCCACGGATGGACATGTACATTGTTTCCAGTTTTCCCCTTAGGAGCGGAGCTGCAACTATCACTTGCACACACGTCACCGCCTGGGAACATCCCAGGGAGCGGAACTGACTGCCAGGTCAAGGGGTATGTGTACATGAGATATGATGTACGTTTTTTTCTCCAGGAAGAAAAGCTGAGTTCCCAGCCTAGCCAGTTTGGCTCAGTGGATAGAGCGTCGGCCTGCGGACTGAAGGGTCCCAGGTTCGATTCCGGCCAAGGGCATGTACCTTGGTTGCAGGCACATCCCCAGTAGGGGGTGTGCAAGAGGCAGCTGATCGATGTTTCTTTCTCATCGATGTTTCTAACTCTCTATTCCTCTCCCTTCCACTCTGTAAAAAAATTCAATAAAATATATTTTAAAAAAAACCCCTGAGTCCCCAGTGGGGTGCTAAGTGTCAACCGCACTACCTTTGCTGGTGGGATCCAGGGTCTGGTCTGGGGTCCGGCTCAGAAGCAGTGCCCCGGGGGTGACGGGCTGGGGGAGGCCTTGTCAGGTCCTGAGGTCACCAGAGTTAGGTGCTGCAGGGGGACGGGTGATGGGGACCTGCTGCCACCCCTGGGGCACCCGGTCTCAGGTGGAGGGCACACTCTCCTCCTGTCTGGCCAGCCAAGATCCTGTTGGAAGGGAAGTGGCTGGGACCACCCTGAGGGTGACTCAGAGATGTGGCTCACTCTTCATTCTTGCGTGGTTTTTCAGCTTTTCAAGTGGGATCATACAGTCTAGTACAGTCCTCAAGGTTCATCCATGTTGCAAACATGTGTCAGAATTTCCTTCCTTTTTCAGGCGGAATAATATTCCGTTGTATGGATATACCACAGTCTGTGTATCCGTTCATCTGCTGCTCCCACCTTTTGTCTGGCACTTTCATCTTTATCTGTCTCTCCCACCAGGATCTACCACCCAGAGGGAGGGGCAGGGTGCTTCTGCTCACTCCACTGTATCTTCAGGCTCCCGGCACACTCCTGACATAGTAGGTGCTCAATAAACACTGTTGAGTGGCTGACCTGGCAGCATGGGTTGTCGGTTGGAATGTGTTCCTTTCCATAGCCTGCTGCCTTCCTGGGGAAGTGGCCTGAGGGTTTCATCCAAGTTCTTGCAATTAATCAAGTGGATTGACTGTTTCAGATTAAAAGAGGAATAAAGAGGAAGGGCATCCAGTGCAGAGCAAGTTGCCGTGAGCCTCCCTGACCATGAACTCCAGAACACAAGGCAGCTGCATGCTCCCAGGCCCTCCTCCAGCACCAAAGAGACCCACAGCCCCAGCTGCCTGCCCAACCTGGTTATTTATCACA